TAAGTCCTACTCATGGAGTTTCCACCCTCCACCTTAAGTGTAGTCATCAAGAATACTAAGATTCTGATCATCCCTTTCTCAGTTCACTCATAGGCAGTGATCCCACACTAGGAGCTGCTAACCAACAAGGTTGAGATCTACCTCCTCCCTTCTTATCATCCACTAGGGATATCACTCTGGATGAAACAGAGCAGTGATGCCACCATCACTGCATCTAGCTCCCACACAGTAGCATGAAGACTCTCCCAGGGGAAGACAGAAGCCATAAGGATGAAGAGCTCCACAGTTCTTATTGACGTTAGTGACTTTATCTAGTGCAGAGAATGGAGGATTCCCTGACTAAGGATGTTGCTGAAAATAATGGAGAGCTTGGTGAAGAACAATTAAGGAGGTGCTGGTAGCTTCATGATACTGCTAGCAACAAGCAAAATGTTAGAACAGCCATAGCTTTAACAGAAAGAACCAAAGAAAGAAAGAACCAAGAAGGGCCTGGGATCCCAGTAAACCCCAGGGGTTGAAAAGCTACACACATGTTCTAGGTTATACCTACTCAAAACAACACATAGGTCAGACTTGAAAACATTTCCCAAGCTGCACACAGATCCATCAACAAAGGGCAGAAGCCTCACTCACTCAAGGTGTTTAAGTATAAGCTTTGAGCAAACACTAGCTAAAAACTAAGTTATTCTGACCCTGGAGAAAATACTATTACACCATGCTTAAAAATAATATTACTTGCATTCTAGTAATCTGGAAGGCTGTGTGCAGGCCCAAGGTTGCACAGTCTCAGAAGTGATTAGAAAGGGAACTTCCAATGCATTTGGCCTTGGCCAAAGTTGGGGTAAAAAATAAACTCCTTAAGTTGTAATAACAGACTCTAAGCCACACAAATATCCAATGGCAAAGAGTAAAACTTTAACTGGCTAAAGGAACCTAAGTATAACCTTTGACCAATAAGTGGCTTATGCAGACCTACAGGTGACTCATAGGGCACCCAACTAAAAGAAAAAAAAATAAGAAAAAATGAAAACAACCTAAAGAGGAACATCAGAAGCTGAATACTGTAGGAGAAAAAGACATTACAGAGTTAGTATGGTCAAGCAGTTAAACAAATGAATGACCAAGTAATGGATGGGGGAAAGGGAGGAAGAAGAATCAGTATCCAGAGTTGCCATAAAATATTATTTAAAATATTCAGGTTTTCTGTTTTTAAAACTATGGCATAAAACAATACAATAAATTGTAACCCATACACAAGAAAACAAGAAGTAGGCAGTAGAAATTGTCTTTTAAGGGGCCCAGATGTAGGATATAGCAAACACTTCAAAGCAGCTATTATTAAAATATTCAAAGAACTAAAAGAAACCATACTTAAAGAACTAAATACAGATATGATGACAACATCTCATCAAAAGAAGAATATCAATAAAGACACAGAAATTATTTTTTTAAAAAGACCAAAGAGAAGCTCTGGAGTTTAAAAGTACAGTAACTAAAAAGACAAATTCAGTATAGAGGCTCAATAGTAGCTTTAAGCTAATAGAAGAAAGAATCTGTAAGCTTGATGATAATTGATAGAGGTTATACAATCTAAAGAACAAAGAAAAAAAGAATAAAGTAAAATGAGCAAAGTCTAAGAGAAATGTGGGACATTATTAAATCACCAATACACTGTAAATAGAAGTACCAGAAGGAGAGGAAAAAGAAAAAAGGGAAGAAAAAAAATTGTAGAAATAATAGCTGAAAATTTCTCAAATTTGATGAAAAACTTAAATCTATACATCCAAGAAAGTCAACAACCTCCAAATAAGATGAGGGTAAAAATATACATACCTAGATACATTAGAGTCAAAATAATCAAAACTAAAAATGAAAAGAAAATCTTGAAAGCAATAAAGACATGACTCATCACATACAAGGAAACCTCCAAAACAGTAACAGCTGACATCTCATCAAAAACAATGCTGTCCAAACTGGACATGGTGGCTCAGGCCTATAATCCCAGCACTTTGGGAAGCCTAGGCAGGCAGATCACTTGAAGTCAGGAGTTCGAGAGCAGCCTGGCCAAAATGGTGAAAATCCATCTCTACTAAAAACACAAATATTAGCTGGGCATGGTGGTGCATGCCTGTAATCCCAGATACTTGAGAGGCTGCAGCAGGAGAATCACTTGAACCAGGGAAGTGGAGTCTGTAGTGAGTTGAGACCATGCC